CACTTTGTAATATATATTGATATCTAAAAAAATGCCTCCCTCTATACTTATTGCAAGAACATGGCATTTAGATAATGCTGTCCTGAAATCTGCTTGTAACTTCTCAAAAGTTTTCTTCCCCTAAAGAAGAGATTCTCTTGTTAAATATGTCTCAGAGTGCAAGTTCTAGTTGAATAGTAGAAACAGTGAAGCTTCTTATTGTGAGAAGAGTTCAACAGTTCAACTTAACTGGTGATACAAAAATGCTGCAGATAAATAATTCCCAATGGGAGAGGCAGTTGGGTCACAGTTCAGAATGTTGCCAGCTTCTCCACGGGCTATGGGTTGCTTACCTCTGGACCAAAGGCAGAGCTTAGTTTTTTAATGGCTGGCTTTTTCTGTTCTTTCTGTAATAATCTGAATTCCATGTTCATTTACATCTAGCAAAATCTTCCCTCTTCTCCCAGTGTGAAGCCTCCAGCACAGAGCACATTTGTGCATAGAGACTAGGGAGAACTACAAACATGTAAATCAGTGTTTCTCAACCTCAGCAACTTGAAGATGTGTGGACTTCAACTCTGGCTGGGGAATTCTGGGAGTTGAAGTCCACATACTTTCAAATTGCTGAGCTTGAGAAACACTGATTAAATAGTTGAATGTCCAATTCATTCCTGCAAAAAAGTTGGTGTAGATACAGCTGTATGTAAACCATACTGTGACAAATTAAGTTTACCTGGAAGCTTGACTCAGCTTCCAAATCTTAGAAACTGGGCTACACACTTGCTACTATTTATGTTCATATATAGATGTCTTCCCTTTGTTAGAGCTGAATGTATTCTGAGGCTGAGATATAACACTGAAAAGCTTTTTTTCTGAAAATGAATACCAGTGAGGTCTGGCTCAAATTATGCCTGGAATGTTAGGGCTTCTCTGAGCTATAGGTGAAAGCATTTGTGCACTTACATTACCATAAATATGCCTAATAAAAAGTCAGTTTCACTGAGCACAACAGAATTTACTCTCAGAGTGCTTTAAAAAGAACAAATTCTAATGCTGCCCTCCCCACCCCCTAAGGCTATTCCATCTTTTCTTCTTAATGGGTTTAATGTAGCTAGAAAACAAGAAAGAAGATGCTGTATAACTAGACAGAGCGAGAGCGCAAATATACAGGAGGATTCAGATCATTTACTTAACTATTGATGTACAGCGCATCAACATGGCTCGTGGCGTGCAGTATCTTCTGAAATTCTTACCTCTTGAGGAGAGCCCCCTGCCCAAGCTCGTATTGAAATGACAGGGGTTTCAGATGCCAAGCGATCAGATTTCCCGGGCTGGCCTTGCTGGCCTGCCGAGCCCCCGGCCAATCAGACGTCCGCAATGCTTCTTTGAGCTGCTTCCCGGCTCCCTTAAGACCGCCCCTCTTTGTTGCGGCGCCCAATGGGAACGCTCCGAATGTCGGCGGCTGCCGGGTAACATGGTTACATGTCAGAGAGTAACACTTGATCATGGAACATGGACTAAGGCGAAGGCGACCGAGTCAGCTGCAGGAGCAGCATCAGCCGCAGCCGCCTGGAGAGGCTCCGGTGCAATGAATCCTCCCGCGACCAGGTAAGGCTAACGGCCGTGCAGCGGGAGCGGGCGAATGGGTGGGGTCCTCGTGGCGGAGCGAGCGATGGGGGAACCATCTCCAGGAGAAAAAAGGAAAGGCTTGCGGTAGTGGGGCCACCCAGGCAATTCCCCTCCTTTGGCTTCGTTTCACACGCATGTAGATCCCAGATCGTCCCGCACGGGGGTTGCCAAAGAGCTGTGGAAGCGTACATGCTTCCTCCTTGTAGCAGTCCGAGCCTGGCTGCTGCATGCCATTGAGCTTTCCAGCCTCGGAACAATGAGATCCGGGTGGCGAATGCGCACAGAGCTGCTGGGATCTCCCCTCAGGAGTGTGTGTGTTTCTTCAGTGGGTCCCAACCAGAAGCTGAGCCAGGATGTGGCGGCAACCGTCCACTCTGCGTGGCAGATTCGCGTTAACCTAGGCTACTGTCTTCGAAATCTAGGAGCTAGCCCGCAACAGCTAGGCGACCCGTGCCTTTTGTAAGACATTGCTCAGACGGAAAGAAAGGCTTTTTGGCTGGCTGCTGTCGCCCCCTGGTGAGAGGCAGCCTGAGGATTGCTGTAGAAAAGCCAGCTCTTCCAGTACCCTTTTGTTTGACAAGTGAATATAATAAAATGCGTCTTCGAGAAAGGCCCTTCTGTCGTTTGCCATTTCCAGCTGATAACAGAATACTCGGTGGCTGTGTTCACACCACACACTTAACCAGGTCAAAGACCTCAGTTGCATGTGCACAGCATGCAGCATCCTTAGCTTGGTTACTATTAACCTTGACGGGGTGGAGTGGGGTGGGAGGGAGGGAGGGAGGGAGGGAGGGAGATGAGGTTTGCCTTGTTTTGTACCTTCAGCCCATTTGGTTAGTATATAATTCAGTGTAGCATGCAAACCAAGCAACCACACACTAAGCAGGGAATGTGAACATCCCTGCAAACTCTCTGGAAATGGGCTATTTTATCTAGTCCTGCCTTCTCCAACCTGATGCTCTCCAGATGCCTTTGATTGCAATGCTCATCATCCCCAGCCAGCCTGGATTGTACCGCTAAGCTGCCTGGGGATAATAGAAGTTGTAGTTTGACATGGCTGGAAGGCACTTGGTTGGGAGGTAGAGCTTGGCTGCTCGATGATGCTGACACCATGTTGTTCTCCACTCCTTGTGTCTTTGTAGATTCTGTCTGTATGAGGAACAAGCCCCCCGCCACCTGCTTGGCGGCTGCTAGCAAGCAATTTCATGTTGGCCTGATTCATTTGGTGGGAGCAGGGGGCAGAATGGAGCGGGCTCGCTTGATGGGACACTGACCAGGGTCTGTCTTCTGTCGGACTGCTGGTTCCTTTAGAGCTCACAATGACCGGCTCTGGCTCCAACGCTTCCCACAACTCCCACCCCAAGGGAGACAAAGGGGGCCGTTCCAGAAGCTCCCACACTCGGACGCTCAGTACTGCCAACAACGGGGGCTCAGAAGAGGAGGACAAAGATGGAGCAGCAGTGTTCCTCGTCAACAAAAGTGGCTTTCCGATTGATGGGCAGACCTGGGAGAGAATGTGGGGTCATGTGGCGAAGGTCCACCCTTCAGGCATAGAGATGGTGGAGACGATAAGGAGTGCTGCTTTCCTTACAAAAGTAAGTTACGGCTCTTCCCCCTCTGGATCCTTGTTTTCTGCTTGATGGTCTGGCCAAGGTGCATGAATCAAATGCATGGAGGTTCCTTTGCTTGTTTATGTGACTTTCTACTTTCCAAATGGGGTGGGGCGGAGGTTATTACAAGAACTTATCTTCCCTGCTTCTTTTTGCAAGAAAAGAAATAAGAGAGGTGCACACTGGGAATTTTAACAGCAGTTGGTTAACCTTGGCTAAACTCAGAAAAAGCCAGGAATAGTCAGACCTGGTTGGTACTTGAATGGGATACCACTAGGAAATTAGACTGTGAAGTCAAAAATTACCCCAGAAGAAGGTGGGGGTAAATCACTGCCAAATTGTTGCAGAGAAAACTATGTAAAAATGTACTTGGAGTCACCAGACGTTGAGCTCAATTGGAGGGAAGTTAGCTATAGGAATGGGGCTAAATAAAAATTTTAAAAAAAACCTTGTCTAGTAACTACTAAAAGTCTTGCTCTGGATTCTAAGAGCTATTGACATGTTTCAGGTTTTTCTGTGCAGCCACAAAGACTAGAAGGATGCTTGAAAAATAGTTGAGCCCTAATAATTCAAGATTCAAAATTCTTTATATTTGTGGAGGGCTAATTGTCTCTCGGCCTTGGCTGTACTTGCTTTCATAAGCCCTTGAGACATCTATGAATGTAGTTCAACAGCTGCTCATCTTTTTCCCTAGAGGAAATACTTGTAGTTGTGACTGAAAGTGCTAACGGTTAATTGTCACCTGGGCATTTCCATACCAAGTGCTTATTTTGAGCAGCTATTTGCTTTCCGCACATTTGAAAATGTACGGTCTGGTTCCTTATCTCCAGGAACATTTGTGAAAGTTTGCAGCTCTCTGTTAACAAAGATGGAATTAAATTCCAAGTGGCACAGCAGTTGAGCTTGGCAGGAAAAACACCGCTTTGCTGAGAGGTGCCAAGATGTTGGATTTAACAGGATGGAATTAGAAACTTGTGCTAACCTACAAATAGTTGGTTTTCATATTCACCTTTCTCTCTCTGACCAGCTGCATTACTCATCTGCCACACTGGTTGCATGCAGCTGCTTTATACCAAGTCAGATTCACTGTCTGTCTAGACCAGGGATGCACAAATTTGGCACTCTAGAATTGGCTGAACTACAGTTCCCAACATATCTTGCCATTGGACATGCTGGCAAGGTTGATGGGAGATTTGGTTCAGCAGTATCTAGCGGGCAACAGGTTCCTCACCCTGTGAAGGATTGTTTACTTCTGCTGAATCTTCAAGGTCCTATTGCTTGATTGCTTGATTATGTGCCATCAAGTCATTTTTGACTTCTAGCAACCACATAGATAGATTTTCTCCATGACCATCTGTCCCTAACCCAGTGAGGTTTTTCACTTATTCTTGATTAACTGGATATACTTGTGGTTGACCTGAGATCTTCTGTATGCAAAACAAGAGAGCCAGCTGGTGTGGTGGTTAAGGTGCTGGGCTAGGATCTGACAGACCTCACCACATTGAAGGAAGTTGCTTCAGTGATGTTCAGCCAGACTTGTGGGAAAAATTGGAGGTGGGAATGTTATGTATGCTTCCTTGAGTTCCTGGAAGAAAGATGGAATATAAATCTAATGAACAAATATTTTGCGACTGAACAACTGAAAAATTGATGGAACTGCATAGATATTTAGCTTAGAAAAGAAATAACATGGAGGCATTATCCTAACCATGTTCATGTTTTGGAAGGACAATTACATAAAAGCTAAAGCATGTTTGTTTCTGTTGCTCCTGGGCAGTTTTTGTCAACCATCTGCCTTCCAGAAGAACTGGGACTATATCTCCTAGGATTCCCAGCCAGCTTAGTGAGGATGAGAGTTGTAGTCCTAACACATTTGGAAAATATTGGGTTATCGAAGTCTGCTCAGAAGACAAGACAAAAACCAAATGAGTCCAATCAGGACAGTCTTTAGGATAGTCCAGCTCCTGACAGGCTAGAATGGAAGAGATTACCTTTAGAAACCTGAAATCAGAAAGTAGATTATCATTTATCAGGGAAGTTGTAACAATGCCTCTACTGCACTGATGGAACTTCGTTCTAGGTGTTCTTTAAGTCACTGCTGCTCCCTGATTCTGTGTGATGCCATAATGTAGTTTACATGGTTTCAAGTTAGTCACTGTGGTTTATAAACCAAGGACTATGTTTAGTGATTGTGCAAACTCAGTTTATTCAATAAACCAGGCTTAAACTACAGCTTAGCATGACGTAAGATTCCAGTCACTGTTTCTGTAAGTAGCTATAAAAGGTTAGGGTTTTGTGATGTTCAGAGGAAAGATTGGGAATTTTATATTGTTGGATATGTTGTTATTGTTATATTTTCTCTATTTAGTTGTATTTTCCACCTATAGTTTTTTAAAAATTGGGGTGGTTTATAAATATTATTTAATAAATAAATTGAAAATATGGATTTGAAATAGATTTATTTATTAGATGCTGGATTGGACCTTTTTTCCCATTATTTTTGCATACGTGTTTGTTCGATTTGTATCCTGCTTTTTCTCCAGGAGTTCAAGGCAGCGTACATGGGGATCTTCTTTCATTTTATCCCCACAACAACCAGCCGGTGAGGTAGGTTGGACTGAGAGAGTGACTGGCCCAAAGCCACCCAGCAAGTTTCCATGGCTGAAGGTGGCTAGAGCCCTATCAACAAGGGGGAGGGGGAAGGGGGCAGAGTGACAAATGCAGTGTTATGGTGCAAGCCCTGCCCCTCTTCTGCATATCTCATGTTGTCATCCACCTGCCCCAAAGGGGTAGAGATTATGTCGTGATACCACTTTCATCATTCCAGTAAAAGCAGTGAGAGCCTATGGATGCTGCTGAACTTGAATCTAATCTTTCCAGTCTGAGTCCAACACCTGATTAATGTGCTGTCCTAACTGAATAGTAAAACAAGCACTAAATTATAGTGTGTGTTAAGTCTGGCATAGGTCATCTGAAAGAAATATGTCATTAGTGACGTGTTCTGATTAGAGTTCTTATGGGCAAGGTTTCCCCAGGCTAGATTTCCCTTTGGCCATGATGGGGTAAGAATCTGGGTTTAGGTAAGTGCAAGCTACCCAAGAAGATGCTGCCCTCATGTGTCTTCTCCTTTCCATTCGCAATCCTAATTCTGTACCACGTGACATGTGACTGGAGATCTCTGATGATTGATGAAACAGCTGGTAATCAAAGGATGGAAACACTTGCAATGGATACCCTCCAGAGACAGCAGCCACCTGTTCTGTCTGCTAGCCCAAATGCTGAAGAAGAGCCCTGGGTGGAGTTCTTCATTACTTCCTCTTGTATCTTAGCAGCTGTAGGCAAGGACGACATTGCTGGGAACAGTCTGCAGGATTTGTTTTCTTGCTGTAGCATTGCTCTGGTGTTTTCTGGCTGGTAAAGACTTGGAAAACCTTGCTGTGCTGTAGGGAGCATATACAGGTAGTCTCCAGGTTAAGAATGCCCAGGTTAAAGACGATTCATAGTTAAGAATGGAGCCTATTGTAGCAAAATTCAAGTTAAATACACAATGATTTGAGTTCATTACACAATACTATTTATACAGTATTATATAATAATACTGTTCCAGCTTACATACAAATTTGACTTAAAGACAGACCTTGGGAACGAAACTTGTTCTTAAACTGGGGACTACTTGTATTATACCAGTGGAGAGACTAACGAGTGGCTGAATCAGAATCTTGGCATTTTGAAAATTAATTTGGGCAATAGAGGCAGGTTTTTCCTTGCCTTACTTGTAGGAGCAAGATAAATTGAAGATGGGAGATGGGGGACTCAATTTATTGATGGGATGTCATCCTTTTCTTTTAACAGTCCCTCTTGTAAGCAGCAAGCCCAAGAACTATGATAAAGAGATACAGAATTGAAACAGGATGATCTTGTAGCACAACTCTACTAATTCCTAACCAACCCTGGAGGTGGCTAGCACCTTGAAGATGCTCCCATATGTTAACATCTTACTAACCATCAACATCTTTTTGTATTTTATATCATTTTTATTGTATTTTAATATTTATTCCTGTTTTATTGTGAGTCACTTTTGTGAGTCACCCAGAGTCACTTTTTTGTGAGATGGGCGGTATCTAAATTTGAAATATATAAATAAATAAATAAATAAATAAATACATACATACATACATACATACATAAATAAATAAATTCTGTAGTTGCAGTATACCAAACTGCTACATGCAGATCTCAAGCAAGAGGAAGCCAGCTTTGTGAGTCAGTGGATCCATTTGGAATTTTGAGATCCTGTTGTAAAGGTCTCACAATATGGTTGCCATGAGGGTGGTTGGGCCTGTTCACCAAAAGGGTGCCATGGTGGGCACAGCCAGTTTCACAGTACCAATTTAATGGAAGGCAAGCTGGTGGGATTGTTTCTTAGCATCCTTTTCAGCTCCCCAGGATACTCCACCTTGCCAGTTTAGGGTGTTTTCTTTCCTAGGCAGATGGGAACAGGCCACAGGACTGCAGCCATTTAGGTCTCGGAGACATTCTTGCAAATGAAGATATTTAATGCTGATCGTTCACATTATGTAATTAATATATTCTAAACCCAATTAAAGCGGGTTGGATAGGGATTCTGGGGAGAGATCCATGGCATCAGTAATTCACTTCAATATCAGCTCTTTAATATTTATCCTGAGTTACTGAAGATAGTCTGTTTTTGTTCTGGTTGTATATGTGTGAAATTTTTTTTTTAAATGTATTAAGGCATCTCTGACTTGATTTATTATGCTTTTTGCCTAAACACAGTTGGCAACAACAATGCTGATTTTAGGCAGGCATGTCCTCCCCAAGTGATATGGTTGGGGTGTGCAAAAAAGGGCATGAGGGGAGCCATAGAGTCACAGGGCCACAAGTTATCCACCCTTGAATTAAAAGATTGAAGGAAAATGTGGATGTACAGAAGCAATGGAAATATGAAGGTGGGAATAATGAGGGAATGTAGAAGGTATGGACATAAAAACTCAAGAGTCATACTTCACAATTTCCATTCTTTCTGGCATATGAATGAATCTGGAAGTGACTTTCTCTCCAGTACTGGTCTACCTACCAGCCACGCTGCTGACTGGCTGCCAACAGGTGCATCCAAGTCATTTACACTAATGGGATATGTGTGACTGCTATAGGAAGTGACCAGCAATTTTATTGACATAGGATAAATCTAGCATGTAATCCCACTTTCTCCCATTTGATGCTTCTGCTATTTGTGTAGAGAAAAGCAGATCTTTTGAAAAGTTTCTTGGACCAGTTGGAGATGGACTTTTATCATTATAAGCCAAACTTTGGATACTGCATTTCTTGCCCCACCACCTGAGGTACTTGTACCATTGCTATGAATATAATAAAACCTTCCCAACCTGATAATGTCCTAGTATATTTGACTACCACTTCCATTACCCCCAGCCAGCATGGGCAGTGGTGGCACTGTACCCAGAAATGATGACAACTGTACTATACACATCTGAAGAAACATTGCGTAGCAATGAGAACTATACCTTGAACAAAAAAAAATGCTTGCTTCATAGCTACACTGATAGTTACTGGATGTCTAGAGCTCATCACTGAGTCAAAAATATTATGTTTGAACATGAGAAATATGAACATAAGCATCAGGAGGAGTAATGCTCTCTTCCTGAAGGCTCTCCTGGAGATAGCCTTGTATAGTGGGAGAATGGGATTGGATAGCATAGATTGATAATGCATCCAAGAATTTGAAATGCTGTAAACATTTGGAGGTTAGCGTTACGTTTATAGGAATGGGCCTTGTCCAGACAGGCAAAACTATTATGCCTTTATGTACCTGTATCAAATTGTTATGAGTCTGCACAAGTACAGTCCTAGTTTTGTGTTTTCCAGCTACAATAATTGTTTCTAAGTTGCTCTTAAAAAATCCACCCTTCATTCTTACCCAAAATTTTCATGCCAAAGAAATTGGACAGCTTGCTTCCGCTTTAAATGCTTAGCACACCAATTGATAATAGACAATGTCCCTTTGTTTGTGTTCATTTGTCAATTGCTAGCAGAGAATTGTGACATATGAATCTCAGAAGGAGCTTCTTTCTGCTGTTACATGAACAGCTGTGTGAATATTCTGAAAAGGTTAGGAGCAAGAAGGATGCTGAGAGATGGGAAATGGTCTTCTGTGGATTATGCCTTAATTTGGCAAAGCTGGCTTGAAGCTAGAAGTCTTCAAGTTGGCTCTTCTTTCAGACATTGAATGCTTGGAGTGCACATTTGCATACCTGCCTGGGGAATAAATCCCATTTTGCTCAGTGGGACTTAATCTGGTAAAATATAGAGCATATAACGCAAAATAATGATAAAATATATAATGCAAAATAATATTTTGCAGTAGCAGAGGGTCATCACTCTGACATTCCTGAGTTCAGCTCTTCTTCTCTCTTGACTAAAATAGTTTTGGCTTCCTACCTCAGATAATGACTTCTCCCAACTTGTCTCTGTCTCATTTTATGCAGCCTTCCATGCCGTTGGTGCCAAATTACAAGGCTTCCATGACGATCCCAGACTGGCTTCAGGCAATACAGAATTACATGAAGATGCTGCAGTATCCTTGTTTAAAAAAAGAAAAAAAGCTATTAAGCTTATTTGTTGAGGAAAATGGAAGGAGGGTAGATAATTTAGTAGAGAACCAAGCTGACCTGAGGGACAAGAATGAATGAAAAGTGCTGTTGTTGTATTTTCTAGCACTTGTGAAGCATTATGAGATTACTTAAGCTTGGTGTGTTGCCCTTGGTCTTTAGAATGCCATACGTAGCTTTAACAGTATGAAGAGGTTGTAATTGAAACAGGAGATTGAACAGTAGACCTTTTTTTTGGTGATCATGGCACATAGAGTGACATACTTCAGGCAGAGAATATCTCCTCTTCAAGTACCCAACCCTGCCTTCAGGAATTAGATAGCAGCAGCTTCAAGGACTCAATACTGCATGATAAGTTGCCTTATTGCAGTCAAGAAAGAATTCATGTGTATGAAGAAAATTTGCCTACTACAGAACACAGAAGTTAAGCCCACTATATATGCAAAAGAAAAGTTTTAATTGTTAAACTTTGTTCTTCTGTCCCATTTGGTCAACAGACTCTAGCTCCCAGACTTGAGATTAGAATGCTCCTGTTCCCTGTTTAAATATTGCTTCTGTCTGGCCTGAACAGAACTGGTTCTAGTCTGATCAGCTTCAACCCTTACACTGGCTCATGAGGGCAAGAATGCACAGACTTCTAGGACAATAAATTGTAGCAGTAGAGATAGGTGATGTGCATTGTTTTACCATGAGATGTGGTGCTGGCTACCAGCTTGGTGGCTTCAAAAAAGAGTTGGACCAATTCCTGGAAGCCACGGGGATCAATGGCTATTAACCTTGATGGCAGTGTGACTGTCTCTGAAGGTCATCTGCTGGGAGACTAGCGAGCTTCCTTGTGCAAATGGTTGGCCTCTGTGAGAATTAGATGGGCCAGGGGTCCAATCCAGCAGGGTACTGTTTATGTCCTTATGTTCACTGCATCATGACAGTAACAATACTTGCAAAAAAGTTTTAGAATAATGGTTAATTGCAAACTAAATATAAGCCAGCAATATGATGTAGCTAAAACAAAGGCAAAGGCAATTTTAGGCTACATCAACAGAAGTACTAGTTTCCAAATCACAGAATGTAATTATTCTACTTTCGTCAGAATCCAGTTCAAGTATCTGATCAAATTTTCAGCACTTTGGTCTAAGTAGGATTCTGAGAAATCAGAACAGGTTCAGGGAAGGGCAGCAAAGACATGCTGGAAAATATGTTCATGTAGAAGAAAGTCTAGACCTGTTTGCAGGACACAAAACAATGGATTTAAGTTATAGGAAGACAGATTCTGATTGTATGTTAGAAAAAAATTCTGAACAGTAAGAACACTGCAATCCAGTTAACTCAGAGAGAGTGTAGGTTCTCCTTCATTGGATATAATCAAGTGGAGGCTAGACAGCCATCTGGCTGGGATGCTTTAATTTGGATACCTGTTATGAGCAGAAGGTTGAACCTGATGGCCTAAATAGCCCCTTATGATATCTACTTTGGATTTGGACTGGAGACAAATTCTGATTTTCAATCATTGTAACTGATGAGATTTGGATAGCGCTGCCAAAGGAATTGTTAGAGAAGCAGCTGTATATGAACAAGCATACAGAGGCAACCTGAAAAACTCTCAAAGTAGTTTCACAATGCCTTCTGAAAGATGCAGGTTTCTCAGTGTTTGGAGGAGTAATAGTTTGTTCGTACCAGTGTTCTTTGGAAGGCATTCTTTTGAATACTTTGCCCAGCCCTACTAGATTATTTCTTAGGGCCATCAGGAAGTTACTACCAAAAGGCTGAAGTCAAGAGCCATAGTTAAGGCAAACTTTGAATCATACCTTATCAAGGAAGACAATTCTACTGAGGCAAAGTCCTAGCCCCAAACAGGAAGTATATATATAGAATTTTCTGTGTATTAAAATTCAATGGGCAGTTTGAATGGAGCCAATCAGGAATATTTCATAATTGTGAAATTTTCAAAATGCATTTCTGATGAGCTTATTCCATGGATAGTTGCACCTACTGCTGAAGATTATGGTCCATGGTATGGACAAAGTATGGTTTGGTGGCGATGAGTGAACTGAGTCAATATTTTATATTCTTACATCAGTTATAAAGAGGAACAATCAGTATATAAGATTATTGAGGGGTTATAACGAATTCTAAGTACCATCCTTAAAAATGTATATTCTTGTATTATAAACAATAATCCTTTCATATTTGCTTCCCCATGGAACTATTGCTAAACCATCTGACTGCTTTTAAAAAAATTATGATTAAAATGGGTTCTGTTAGATCCCATTATCTGATTAAAAAAGAGAAAATTCTTCATATGACGTTCAAATGAATTAAATTATTCTTCTTAGTTATATTTTAGTACTTCATATTTCTTGAAGATATTACGACAGAATCATTTGTTTGATTCATCTTACACATATGCTATTACTTTCTCCATTTTGCAATCACTTTGTCTTAACAAATAAAATCCAGATATAATCATACGGGAACTCAATTCTTCGAAATTAGGAAATCAAGACCTCTAAGTGGGTATGTAATATTTTGCAGAAGGAATTATTTTCTAACGGGCTTGCGAACCCAATAAATGGTCCCAACAGATAAAATAGCGCAGTGCTTGCTGGCAGAATGTATCAGAGACTCTTTGTATATTTCATCATCTCTCAAATTACACATCCAACCCTCCTCTATTCTCAGCCTCCACAAAGACATGACTTTATACTCCTTTTGCTGAATGTATTGTCCACTATTTTCCTTCTGCTGCACAACAAGAACGAAACAAGAATCTATCATCTAGTATAGGTGTAGGTAATCTGTGGCCATGGGGCCACATGTGACCCAAAAAAGTGCAGATCCCAAATTTTATATCCCTTTTTGGAGTGGTAGTGGTGGGAGGGTTAAGAATGAAGGGTTAAGAATTTAAGCCTTGAGACTCCTTAAAACAAGGAGGGGAAGTGAATCTGAAAATGTAACTTTTTCTCATTCTGGTGATGTAACAGTGACATTGTGGCTCTAAGTCAGGACAGAAAGGAGAACTGTAGCCCTGGCTGAAAAAAGTTTTCCTACTTCTGATCTAGAGGAAAAATTTAGTTGATGAACTGAGACAGCCTTTCTCAATCTTCCAGATGTTTACACTTCAACCCAGCTATCATGTTTATCAAACACAGAAGACCCCAGGTAGAGGCAGTCTGCACTAGAAACATAGAAAACCACTTTATATGGAGTCCTGCTATTGGCCTGCCTCATTGGCTGTGGTGGTAGCATCCCAAGATTTTGGACAGGACTGTTCCTCTCACTTGGAGTTGTGGAGGTTGGAGTAGGATGGTGTTTCTCAAACTGGCCAGCATGCCGGCTGGGGAATTCTGATAGTTGAAGTCCACACATCTTAAAGTTGCCAAGTTTGAGAAACATTGGACTAGGACCTTTGTCTGTTATATATATATAGGACTGCTCTGAAAACAAAGAGAGAGAAAGAAGAAAACAGAGATGATTTGTACTAACAGTATTTGCACAGAACTTTACAATTGTCTTCACTGAAAAATGTACCCATTGTTACTGAATGCTTTGCTTACCCGTCTGCGCTGAGATGCATATTAAAGTTTACAAGCTGCTTTTTCTATTGAGGCTGAAAGTGGTCCTGGTACAAACCATCTAGCTTGTGCTGATGTGTTTAGTTTCTTGCTCAGAAAGATGATGATTATTGTTGTTGTTGTTATTACTACTACTACTACTTCCTACAGTGGTTAAAGTGCCCTCCCCCTTTAAAAATAAATCACACATAATGAAATTATTTTGGCCTTGCAGTTTTCTTATGGAAGAGCTGGCAACACCTCTCTGATTACATAGAACAGAGATAGCTAGTTTCTTTTCAATCTTTCAGTACTTAGCAAGAAGGGTTTGTCCTTCATTTATCCCACAAATGATAAATGCAGAACTAAACAGTGCTTAACTTTAACAACTGTGGTACAGGATTATTGTAATTAGGGAAGGATAGAAACTTGCTTCGGCCATATTTGAATATGAACATACACTCTGAATGTGTCCTAAAATGTGCCCAAGAGAACTCATGCTTCTTCCATGCCTGGAGGAATAATTCAAAGGGTTCTGGGTCCCAATGCTTGCAGCCTATAAGATGTATTTGCAAAGGTAGAAGGGTTCTCTTAATGCAGCCCTATGTTTTTCACAGTATTGGATAAGATGGACTGTCTCTGCCCCCAAGTAAGTTATAATGGAGGTAGAGCAATGGGAGAAATATATGTACTTGTATCAGGGAGTGGAATCAGATTTTACTACAGTTTTTTGTTGGTTTCTGGTAAGTTTCTGGATATGATTCAAAGTGCTGGTTTTAGCTGATAAAGCCCTATGCGGCTTAATTCCCAGGTATCATCAGGAAAATCTCCTTCAAGGAAAACTGGCTCATCTGGTATATTCCTCCTAAGAAGGATTGTCAAATGTCCCCTTTCTCAGAGGTTGCTAGGGGAGGGCCTGGAAACCATGTTCCTTAGGGGCAGCCCCTCCTCCAGAGCTTCCCTTAATACTCATCTGATACAACTCAGGAAGGCTGTGAAAATGCTGTTGTCCTATGGAACCTTTGATGTGGCATTGCGGATGTCACCGCCGCGTAGTGGGACGCCAGTGGGTAGCTATTTAATTTAATTTATTTTGTTTATGTTTCATGATTTATGTACCCCATCAGGAGTTATTTCAAGAATACAGTGGTATATAACTATTCGCAATAAATGAAATTGTTACTCTGCTTGAGGGTGTGTGTATGTGTGTAAGTATGTGTAGATACATACAGAGATAGAGATAGAGAGATAAATGTCGATACAGATACATGTATACATACACACACACAGCTATAGATACAGGTATGTATATGCACACATATACACATAGGCACACCATTCATCACAAAGAGACATAGAAATTTTGGCTTCTTCCTTCTTTAGAAGCTCTGAAATAGGAGGCAGTGCTGTGATTGTATGTGGAGGTATGTGCATGTGCAAACACACACACATTTATATATATATATATAAATACTTGATTGTGAGATGGGTGGCTATATAAACATGATGAATAAATAAATATCAGACCTTTTATCGTTGTACACATTTCAGAACATTCCATATCCTGGATTCCATGGCTCAGCCCATGGTTTACCTTGAACCATTTGTTTAGGGATCTCAGGCTGAACATGGGAAGATGTTTGAAGGTAATATATGCAGTGTTTGGGGGGTGTTGGTTGGGGCAGCAGTTTTCAGCACAGCAGCCTGCGTGTCTGTATTTTCACAGTTGTATGTCTTTAGTGAGAATAGGAATGGTGAATAGGTATAGGAATAGGAACAGAACAGAACAGAAACTTTATTGATTTAGTCATCTGACCATATCAAAAATATAAAACCAATACAAGTATACAAGTAAATATAAATAAACCTGTTCTGTTCTGTTCTGTTCTATTCTGTTCTGGTATAGGAATAGGAATGATGGTGAAAAATTGCCTGCAGCATAGCTTAGAATGTGAACCCTGAAAGCATCTTAGGTTATGATGACAGATTTAGGCAAAGAAATACAGAGCATGTTTCTCTCTCTCTCTCCCCCCCCACCCCCCATTTCGAATTTTGGGAACTTCTACAAAATGTATTGTTTGGCATGGGATTGTCTGTTTACAAGTCTTTTCTTAGAGCAAAGCTTGATGAATGCCTTCTTAGAACGCCACAAACATACCTTCTTTTGCTCTTGTGCGCTGGTAATGCTGTTGTGATACTTGGATTTGTTTGTTTGTTCATACAGTTTATTCATTTATACAGTGTATAGGCTGCCCAACTTTCAATGAACAATTAAAAAGCTTCTTTTAAAAAGTTGTGTATTAACTACAGAAGACAGATCCCTGTCTAGAGAAGCTTACAATTTAAAAATGTATCGCACAGATAACATCAGAGGCAGAGGAGGCAGGATGGAAGACAGAATCAGCTAGGCTACTATTTAATATACTTAAGCTCAGCTGCAATGAGTTATGTGCACGAGCAGCTTGAACCAAAGCTGCAAGGAAGACAAGGATTTGAAAACAATTTTAAAGGAAGGTAAAAACTGAAGTCTGCACATGCTACACAAATATTATATCATGTATTTTGAACCTAGACATTTCTTGAAAAATTGCATATAATAGTCTTCCTCTGTCTCATGATCCTCAGATGACCTGAACTACAGTTCTCCTCGTACCTCACTTGCATGCCATTGGATATCTTTTTTTTTTTTAATTCAGGAGTTGTAAAACACCATTTTAATAATATAATACTTTGTAATGCATTATCTTTGTAGCATGCATTTAAAAGCAATTACAAAGATATTTTCAATCATGACTATCTTTCCAGTTCGTTCATGTTTAGAAAAACCAATATGCCAATTTTTGTTAAAATGCTTTTTCCAGGTTTTTTTTAAACTAAGAGGTTACTGGACCATATTTTTTATAACATTATTTTTAAAAAATGGTAAAAAACTAAAGCCTTTCAAATGATTGATGCTTTAACAACACATTCTACCCCAATTAAAAGCTTCCAGTTTATATTTTGGATCTCAGTTGTTTCGGTTTTTGTTATTTCATGGGTAGTAATTGGCATTCAGTGTAAATAAATATGGGTTTAGCACTAAACATTTTTTTAAAGAATTGTTTAGATTTTTTTTTTTAATGATCACTTAGATGAGTTGGTGGGATGAACACAAGAAACCTTCAATATCTCTTAGTGTAGAAAGTTAGTTGTGGTTCCATTTATAACCTACAGCAGATAAGCTGTGATTATTAGCGCTAGGGAAGCTATTGTTTCAGTAGATAAGATGTGGAGACTTCAAATTTGTATTAAAGAGTTGTAATTAAGCACAGTAATTTCAGCTTACTCTGGAACTCCCCAGAAGTCTGGACTCCACTATGCATTAACCATATAGTTTTGGTAGGCCATTTGCTGTGCTCCTTGACATTAAGTCCTCAAGGTACCCAGAAGAGTGTTGGCACCATTTTCATTGTTACCATTTCCCTTTTAATTTAGAAAAAAATACTTCATATTTATCTGTAGAGGTTTTCACATACTTCTTAAAAAAGATGGGAGTGGGCAATGAAAGCTTTTCTAATGGAAGGACATTAACAAGATTAAAAAGCTGTAGCAGGCAAACTAATTCAGTCACCTTCATTTACTTGAATGAAGATATTCCCAGACAAATGGCTCCTGTCGCTGGGCAGGTAGAGTTAATTTTTTTCCAGTGAAAAAAAGAGAAAATCATTGGTAAGAAAAAAATAAGAGAGTTGCAAATACTGTAAAAGACAGTGGGTATTACCAGAACTTTAGGTAGTGATCTGGACTCCCTGCCAGGCAGTTAACTGAACTGGTGGGCATATTCGAATGCATCGGCTCCTGCTGCTGTGGTGAGGTTTACTTGTTTATATATATCTTGTAAGTAGGAGTTTCCTTTTTGCACAAAATCTAGCAATCAAGAAAAAATCCAAGAGCTGATGTGTTTGCATAAAACAGTACCATTTTGGCATGAGGAACCTGGAACCTGGCATGATGCACTGTGCCCAACCATGCTATCAACCAGTTTGGCAACTGCATAAGGAAAGCTTCATCTGGAAACATTCTAGGATTATGGGAAATAGTACAAGAAAGACTAGGGGGAGGAAACAGTGTGAACAGACTCCTCATCCACTAAAAGTTGTGCCGGACCTCACAATGGTAGTTTAAGTGATTTTAGACTCTAGATTTAAGATTGCATAAAATGTTCAATGATAAACTATATTGTTCTGTTTCCTGTAAAATGAGGCAAATTGGCCCTGCTGCCTTTGGAAGCTGTCCTGCTCATTCCACTCAACGGGACCCTGGAATGTTGCCCCAAGACCATCCACGCCTGGAACAAGGGGAGAACATAGGAAAGGGGAGTTTTCTTCCTAAATACATGGGGCTATTCAACTTCCATATGTAAACAAGGATACAGAATAGGAAAACAGTTTTCAGACACACAATTCTTGGTTTAAACCCTAAGTTTTGTTTCTAAACAATTTATCTTGTTTTCTCTTCCCTTATCACTTTCTTAGGCTAATGGAATCAGCAAGAGAAATGACCAGGGAGTCCTTACCAATCAAATGCCTTGAAGCAGTTATCCTAGGGATGTATCCTTTTGTTTTTAGCTTCTTTGTTCAACCTTCTTTTAAAATTAAAGAAGTAATAGGATTACTAGTTTCCTTGGCTGCTGTGTCAACACCATCACAAGGTGAGTCTCTTTTCCCTTCTTTATTAAGCTTAATGGGTGGTGGGGAAGAAAGTACAGACATGAGTGGTAGGACATTTGAGATTCATTGCAGGATGCCAGATCAAAACAAATAATATTGGACTCAAGTGCTGTGTATAATGCATATCTAAAAGAAAAAGAGAGGGAAAGGGAAAAAGGTATTCTTGAAGATATCTAGAACAATTCAGGGAATGATTAAATTGCAACAAAGTCATCTGCTCATATGGAAAGTTAGAGAAAACAGGTGTAGATACATTTTTTGAACAACACTGAAGAAACAAAGTTGAAAGGACATTTAAAACTATGGTAGGAGACTTTGCCGTATGCTTTTAAACAAATATAAGAAAATTCAGTCTTCCCAAGTAGAGAATACAAGGGAAGGTTTTGCGCATCACCATAACAAATATGATTCCAAATTTGGGTATTTCCAGATGGGATCTTTGTGGCAGTTTGGAATCAGCTCCAGACCCATTCTTACTATTTTGGCAGAATCAGTGAGTGGGGTCAACATATTATTAAATCTGCTGTAGTTTATGTGAAACAACAGCAAATCTTACTATTGCCTTTTGAAGTGCTACAGTTCTGCCTTGCTTCCAGGTACTCCATTCCCCAAGTGGTGGTCTCTCTTGCTTCACTTCACTTCTGATTTTCCACTGACAGAAACTTCTGTCTTATTTCATCTTGTGGCTCCTACCACTTTGAATACCTGTATTTTGTTACTTATTTTTTGTTACCTATTGTTACCTATATTTTAAGGCTGGTAATAGTAGTATTCAAAGTGGTAGAGATAGAGAAAAAGAAGACATGAAAGCCCAAACAAGATAAATTAATAGTAAAATATTATGAATATGAGCATCTTCCATATATATGGGCTTCAATTCTTAGAATTGTCAGCAGTGGTGAATCCTGGTAGCTGATAGCCACATACCTGGAAGGTGCCAGGTTACAAATAACCCCCACTGAATTCACTACTTCTGAGTAGATATACAGAAGGTTGCAATATCCATCCATCCATCCATACAAACATACTTGGTTCAGTGTTGCACTGATGAGAAAAGGTTTATCTACTGAATTTATGCCTTCTGTGTATCTCTCAGTTTTGTTTTTGTCTCATTTCTGGCATGTTTTAGATGATCCTGTCCTGTTCAATTTTAAAAAAACAATCTCTGGATTTGTGTAAGTTCTTATTTTAAAAAATGAATCATAAAAAGTTGCCTCTACGTTTTCTTTTCAAGATATAGGAGTGTTGCCAGGAAAAAAACTGTTTTTCCCTTTTTTCTTTTCCTATATAATTTTTAATATTAGCCATTAATCAACAATTAGCAATTAATAATACAGTGGAGTATATATAGAAGCAAAATGCACGTGTAACAACAGCATAATGATTATCTACTATCTAGTTCCACGTTCCTAGATAAAAAGACTGTGTCTGCTCATACAATTTGCTAATCCCTGGATAACTGAACCTCAGTTCACTGAATTAATCCATTTCCTTGAAGTATTTCTAAACTTGCAGTATTACTTTAGTACAACACACTGAATAATAAACTCCTCATCTTGTCTGAACTGCAGTCCACCCAAATGTGTTTGAGCCACACTTGTGCAGAGTTTTCTTGCCAGGAGGCTGCCTTTCCTATCATTTGCTTTTGTGCTACTAATGGTGTGCAAAGCCTTCTTCCAGGGGCTCTTTTACTCCTAGTTAGATGTCAAGGAAATTACATTCCTGATGAGATTAAATTGCATCCTTTGGGTGACTTGAATGTGACAGAGACATGTGGATATAGGGGATGGTTGAAGAATCTTAAAAAGAACTGCTTGGGGTCAAGTGGAGTTAAACTCCTTTGTATTGCAGGCAAAATATAAAGTTGATCAGCTCAGTGCTCCCAGAATTTGATAGACACTAACACAAGGCAGAGAAATCTAGGAGTCAGTTACATAGAAGAAAACTACAATAAGCTTTAAAATTTAACTTCTACGTTAGCAACATATCTTAATATAAATCGAGAGTTCTGCATCTCCTATTTAAAATGTAAGTTTCAAGGAGATATTTTAATTTCCCAAGAAAATTAATAGTGATGCTGTTTCATTATTTTACTATTTAATTTATAAATAATGTGATTCCGTTGCTTCCAATTAGAGTAGCAGCTTTGACCAGGGTCACATTTGGTGGAAGGCTTTTAAGTGACAAATGAAGGCAAGGTGGTGGATGTTGAGAGTGGCATGTCCTGTTAGTTTCTTTTTGGCATGTGGCCTTATTTCTGTGAGGAGGATTAAGTAGGAGGAGCAGGGAAATAACTGCAAATGCTGTAGAAGCCCAGAAGCCCACAAAACTCTGAGCAAATACCTCTCACCAACTTATCTTAAAATAGCCTTTTTATGCCTGCTTGTTGGCATGTTCATCCTTCATGCAAATGTAGAATATTAGCTGGGAAAAACCTTTCCTATTTAAGCAGCTTTCAGGCATTTGAAGAGTGCAGAAAGAATTGCTTGGCTTTTCTTGAAAATGGAGTGAATGGATTTTTTTTCAGCTGGATTTCTTACCCTTTCAGCTACATAAGACCAGTTACTTTTGGGGGAGAAGAGAAGGAGTCTGAGACTGAAGGGATGGAGAATAGGAGAACATAAGTCAGGAGAGTCCTTCAAAGCAGAAATGGGGGCCTTGTGTGTCAGAACAGTGGCTGGATCTTCTTACTCTGATGAATGAAAGAAATGATAATAAGGCTTTCATGTTTTACCATTGTTTGTATCTGGGAATAAGGAAAGTAGTTAAACAGAGGCTGAATACTCCTTTCCTTTTGCATTTTGTAATGATTCATACCATCAGTTTGTAGCCAGGGGCATCTGCAGGAAGAGGCAAAAGCGTCAGTCAATAAAACTATAATAATAAATTGAATATCACTTTGATGGTATTCAAGATCTGCTGCCACTTTCTACTTAATGATGGCTGCCCTGTAGAACAAGGACAAGGTACTTCTGGCTTTCTTTTTTTTTCAAATAATGTTATTAAAAATTATAAATGAAAAGAATAAAAGTCAATACAAACTACAAAAAATACAAACAGAAAAACATAAAAAAAAAGGGGGGGAGAGTATAGAAAAGAAAAAAAAAAGGGAAAAAGAAAAAAAAGTAAATTCCCCCTTCATCCCAGCAGGTAAAAAGTTTTAATAGCTTATCACTGTCTCTAAATTAAACATAATCTTTCTTCTCCCCATAACTCTTAAGTAACAAAAAAACAAATCCAAATGCTTCATCAATCATTCTTTGTCAGCAAAAGTCCAATAAGGGCAGCCAGATATAACTATTTTTCTCTTTTAGCCCTGATCAAACAAGCCAACCTTATAAACTTTCCCTGAATTTTTAACATTATTCATCAACCCCTTCAAAAAAAGGTCCCAGAGGTAATTTGCTGATCATCTGTGTATCCAGACAAAAATCATTCAGAACTTTAACAGATTTCTTTCGCATGTCCATTAGATAAAGTTTATCCTTTTATTTGTCGCTTCTAAAAAAGTCTTTCCAATCCTTAGCAGAGCTCTCTTGTATATCCAGAAGAAAAAAATTATCCAAATCAATTTCTTGGTTTGATATCTATTCATCTCCTTTAGGGGATAAATCATCCATTGGATCCATTCGCATTACATTTAAGTCCTCCTTCAAATTAATTTCATAAAAGTCCATTACAACTTGTTCTTGTTTTACAACTTCATTAAAGCATGTTCTGTCCAGTTTCTCAAGCATTTGATCCATTCTATTCAGTAGCTTGGCTGAGAGGTATGCACTAAGGATTTCTGCTCCATTTTCTTTGTCCTTTGGCTCCCTGTAATGTCCAACCTTCAAGGTCTCCTCATCATAAAGAAATCACCATTTTTCCATGAGAAGACATTTTCTAATAAATTCAAAACTATAATTCCAAATTTCTCTGGCCCCTTAATCCATTATTAACTTTCCAAAATCCATATATTAAGTACCATTTTGCTGCTTAGTTAAAAAAAAATCATATATTTTCAAAATGTTTAAGATAAAATTTACACCATCATCTTTTAAGGAGGCAGAGACTCACCCAATGAATACAGTAAAACCTTGCCAGTCCAAAGGGACTTAATCTCTCCAGTATACAACACATAAAAAATTAATCCAAAAAAGTGATTAAAATGTAAGACTCAGTTGAGCTTAATGTCCATAAGGGTGCTTTGCAAGTGTGAGCTTGATGTAATCCTAACTCCTAGCTACTCCACTCATAAACCAACTGTAAAATGACAGTTTCCACAGTCTACTCATAAATAGTGGCTGTCCAGGGTCACGTGGATGATCTCAACGATCTCTCCTTTGATCCAGAGAGATTACACTGGCCCGGATCCAACATCCAGCCATGATTTCCCTCACAAAAGCTGTCTTACTAGCCA